AATGAAGTGATTCAAGCTGGTAATTGACTTTTTTTCTTCTACCTTTTAGGTTTCATTATTTTGTGAGGGTGACCTGGGGTGATTTCTGATCAAAAAACTCAAACATCTATTTTGTGAAAAAACTATTCAAATTAGAATGTTAATATTTATTGGAAGTTTGAGGCTATATAAGATGAGTCCTATGCCAACTTCTATTGTTTGAAAATCTAATTTGAATTTAAAAGTTTTTAGGGATCAGGAATAGATCATTTCTGGGGTAATTGCTGATCACCAATTTTTATTGTAAAGGGGCTGTTTGAAAATAATTCTGGTTTGTTTGCTTAAATAATAATGGTGATTAACAAATGCTTAACGTTTTTAATTTTCTAAAGTCTTTTCATAATGCCATACGTTATAGGCAATCAGCCAACTCATTCTCATGTTCTTCTGAAATAGATTGAGTTCCCACATGGGTTACTTTTGCTGGATTTTTTTACTTCGTTAAGGGAAAGTGTAAAGTTAGGTAAGGCATACCTGCCAACTCTTTCGGATTTTCCGGAAGATTTTATTTTCATATTTAAAGTGGTAGAAAATATATACTATTTTTCTTTTATGAACTTAATTTTTAGATGATTTTGATCACCACTATTCTTACAAAAATTAAGCACATATATGAATATGCTTTACTATCACGGTTGTCAACAAGTTTTTTCAAATGCAACGTGTTTGTTTGCTTAAAATTGAAGTTTTAATTTCAATTTAATACCACTGGGAAAAATGATAATGGAAGGGATTAAAAGTTGGCAGGTATGGTAAGGTATGCCAGCAACTCTCACACTGAAATTTTAATTTTCTGTCATTTAAAGGAATTCACTAATTTTGTTTTCTTGAAGCTTGGTATCCATTTTAGGCTTGTAATTTCTCGCCATATATATACTAGGTTAATTTATAAACTTAAAAATTATTCTAACGATGTACGCACATAAAATTAAGATAGAAGTGAGGTAAGACAAACCAGAAATGGTGCAAATCAGAGTACCATCTTGTATACAGTTAAAAACAAATTTTGTTCAAAGCAAAAATTCCACTTAATAAATATGAACTGTTATTTATGAAAAGACAAATAGCTATTTATAAGCTGTTTTTTATATAGGGAGAAATTACAGTGATCAGGAATTACCCCAGTGATCAAACATTACCCCGTCTGGAGGAGGGAACATCTATATTATATAAAACGCTAATATGTACGTATGTATCAATGAAACTGATGATATTTCTTTTCTCGCGCTGGCAACAGTTTTCATTTTTAATTGATAGGATTCGGCGCTCTAGAGCACGTAGTGAGCCTCATATGTCTAATTGGGTGAATTCTCACCGAATTATCAAAACAATTCTCACAAAATTATCTTCATCGAAGACGATGCTTTACATCCGGCGTTCAGTACTATTTCATATTGTTTTACAACAAATGGTTTTAGCCCTCTGGTGGGAAAGACTTTAAAACAGATCTTACAACAGTTGCTTTTCTCAACAACTGATATTTAGAATAGTGTGATTAAGAAAACTATGTGAACTGTTTTCAATTTTAAATTAACATTGAAATGCACAGGTTTAAAATTTTCTACAGTGAAAAGTTTTCTGAACTTCAGTGTTCAAAAAAAGTATACAGAAGCTAGACGTTACCATATTCAATGGGCGAGCAAAGTGCGAATCGGATTGCGAAGCAATCCGAAATGAACTGCGAGAGCAGTTTCGGGGTTGGCGAGCGAGCAGGGGGCGAAGCCTCCTAGTTTGATATATTTTCCAATGATTAATTATAATGTTTACAGTTTATGTGAAACAATTATGCAAAAGCTTACGCAACTTTTATATCAAAGAGAAGGAATCTTTGCAGAAATGTGCACATTTTGAAACCCATCTTTGAAATGGAAAATACAGAAAGCAGTTTAAAAGATACAAATTTTATTAGATTAAACAAAAAATTATTATTAAGTTGATGTAGTTATACTTTAGTGGAGTGTACAAGCATTCTTCTCCATGTCTCAAATTTAAAAAAAAATAATAATAAGGCTTAGGTGATTATTATTTACCCCAGAAACAGAGTGATCGTGAATTGCCCCGGGTCACCGGTTGTCAGTTGTTTGGATCAGAAAAATTACCAAGATTATAAATATTAGAGTTCAAATTTATTCAGGTATTAGAAAAAAGAATGGGTAGTGTTCAATATCCACAGTTTGTCGAAGTAGTATATTTTAGGTTTCCATTGATCGTTTTAATTTCCATGAGATATTTTTATGTTATATTTATTGTATTATATTAGTGTTAAATGTAGTTTGGAGAGTCGTCGCATGGAAGAATAGAATTTTTATAGTTGCTATTGTTCGGCAGTATTTGTGTTATAAGGCATTATAGCTCCTTTATTTTACTATACAGTAATTTTACTATACACTAATTTTTTCCTTGCATCTTGCTAAGACTTCTTATGCTTTGGCAATATCTTATTAGTTTTTAAATTGTTTGAGTTTTAAGGAAAGTGGTTACATTTCTTTCTGCAATATCCATATTTTCTTATGACTTTTTATCGCTCAATTCATATGCACGTAACTTCTTTCCTAAGCTTACTTTTCAGTTACACTTTCAGAGACAGCTTACATGATTTCTGGATCTGTAGTTACTTATTTGCAAATATTGGTATATCGAGGTGGCCGCCCACCTTGATAGCCTGAAATTAAGTTTTTTTACGGTGGGAACTTTCGGTTGAAACTTGGTGAAATCAGCGAAATTTTTCTTATTTTCACATATTTAAGTGGTTTTTCTGTCCCTGCACCCTATTTTACGCACCTCAGTCTGAAAATTATTGCCAAACAGTTGCAGTATCATTAAATTGGTAGTACATAGCTTGTATCGAAATTTGCTCCATTATAACTTCATAAAGTTAGAATGCCACATAAAGCTTTTTTATTCGAATTGTGTAGTAGTCAGTGTTTGCATTCCACAGATTATATTCTCAAAACTGTATCTTTTAACCTGGAAAGCTGAATATAATATGTAAAGTTAAAATATCTATTTTTAAAAAAATATTTGTTGGTTTATTAAGAAGAAACAAAGCTTTTTTTATTCTTTGCTTTGCTGATTTATAGTTGTATGAACATTCTAAACTGAATAACCGTGTGGTTACATTAGAATATTTACATATTTTAATTTTAAATAAGGAAAAAAATATGAAGGAATTTTATCTTGTTGCACCACTATAGAAGAAAAAAAAAGTTAAATAATTTTGCATTTGATCATTCGTTTTAGAATGCTGAACAACTAACATGATAGTGCTAATTCAAAACGACCTTATTAACAAATTTGACTTGATGTATTTGTTTAAAATGAATATGATCTATAAATTTTATAGCAGGTACTGTTTGGAAAAAATAGCAGCTTAAAAAGGGCTCTGTATAAAAGTTCATTGATGTGTAATCATCTGGAATTTCTCTTGGTTAATGAAAATATATCAATCCTTTTTCAAAATTTCTTAGGTGATTCTGTATTTTTATTTTGGTACTCTCTGCAATCACTACTTATAGTAACATGTTGAAACCTTTTTATTCTATAAAAATAGGAAATTATTTTCTGCTTAAATTTTGAAAGTTGGTATTGCACCAAAACATGAAAGATTTTTTTAAAAATCTTGATGCGTTCTAAAATTTAGTCTATTTTTTCAAGATTGATTTACTAAATAAGTAACATTTTAAGTAAAATACTTTATAATATTGACACTTTTCTTGTACCCATCCTACACTGTAATGCAGCATTATATTTATTGTTTGAATTTCTTCTCTTATAGGTAAATCTAAGCTTGCCTCTGTACCTTCTGGTGGAGCTGTAGTTGTCTCTGGTGGAGGTTCTGCTGGTGGTGCTGCAGCTGGTGGGGCTCCGGACAAAGGTGTGTATTATGTGTACAGTTTTTTTTAACACATTAGTGATTAAGAACTTATTGCTATAACATTATTTCAATGAAGGGTGATTTTCCGTGGTCGCCCTTTTGATTGTTAGTAGGAAAGTAAAGTTCTGCAAAATAACAATATTTTTCTGTAACCTGACATGTTTAGTACCTTTTAATTTAGGACTAGTTAATTCACATAATTGTCATACTTAATTTTGAAATTTTATTAGATCTCTATTCAGATTTGTTTACTTTCTCATGAAGTTACTTGACACCCTCTCATTTGCTTTTTCTGAGCTTGTAAAAATAGCGAAAAAGAATATTGCCTACATGGTAGGATATAGAATTTTTGATAAATAATTGTAATGAGCTTGATAGTGAGACACCATTTTCAGCTAATGGTGTTCATCCATTTGTGTATGTTACTCATGACTTCGAGGAGTGGAATCGATGTAGATACGTTCAATGTAAATATTTTTTAACTATGCTGCATATTTAATAAGAACAAAAAGATTTATGAAACTATATTGTTATAAATTAGGGATAGTTGTGCTCCATATTTTTCAAGGTCCAGAAGTTTAAAGAAATCATCAATAAAATTTATGTATAGAAATTCTTATGTGTTTTATTTAAAAATATTAGAACTACAATTTTTACTTGGTATCTCTTTCATTTGAAAATATTTTTTCTGATAGAATAATAAATGTGATTAGAGATAGAACTAAACTTGTAAATAATTGTTTATTTGAATTATGTTGTATATAATTTATTCAGAATTTCATTATTGATTGATTTTACTCAAGAAATTTTCAGGTTTTTTTTTTTTTTTTTTTTTTTTAGTGGGGCTCGCAATCACCCCTGATACATACTATCAGTCTATGCAAGGTTAATCCGTTACTTATAAAATATTGACTCCGAATTGAGATGAGGATATTTTTTTTAAAATAATGACTTAAATTTAAGGTAAATTTAAGTAGGATTTCATAAAATGTGAAAGTTTGTTCCATTTTTTCTTTCATTTACCTAGAGATTATTCGTTAAATGGATTAGATTATTTCAATTATGTTTCTATTTCAATTATTATGTAGAAATTAGATAAACCTTGTATTTCTACATAGTAATTCCATTACTATGTAGAAATTAGAGCTAAAAAAGTATTATTAGATTATGTAGGAATGTTTAAAGGGTATTATCTCTGAAATTTTTAGGTTTTTACAGAAGCTTTTGCTATAGTTTTATGAATTAAGTTGAGTTGCATATTAAGTTATTGCGCATTGAACTGTTTCATTTCCTTTTTACAGAGGACAAGAAAGAAGCAAAGAAGGAGGAATCTGAAGAGTCTGATGATGACATGGGATTTGGGCTGTTTGATTAATAAATAGCTTTTATATTTTTATCTAGCTTGTGATTTCTTTATTCCATTCTCATTTGCTTGTTGTACATAAATAGTATTTTTGATACTCATTCCTATGTTTCAGACATGTTGCTTTTCACTATTTGCTAAGCTGTGTTTTCACTGCAAGTATAATATCTATCAGAGCAAATTATGTTGGTCTAATTTACATGATTTATTTATAAGCCTGTCAAGTTTGGTTGTGATGCATCAACATAAATATATTGCAGGGGTCTGTCTAGGTTTTTCTGAAAGGAACCTAACCTATTTTGTGAAAATTAAAAATTATATTAAAAAATCAACACAAAAATATGGATTTTTCTTTTCTTATGGGATACAAAAATAAAATTTTTAGAAAAAGTATTTCGTGAAACTACCATTTTTCCTAAAGTTGAATTTGTGAAGGTACCGCTGAACAGTAGTAAATTCGGCCTGGACAGACCCCTGTGTTGTGAATCTAATATTCGAAAATGATTTTAGCGTTACATTTTTAAAGCCAGGAATTAAATTAATCTATTGAAAGACAAGAATTGATTTTGAAGCCTTTGGCTGTCAGTTTTTCTAAAATCAGCTGTTCAAGAATAGAATAACGAATTCTAATTTTAGTTTATTTCAGTTCAAACTGAAAAGCAGAACTTCTGGTTGTGTTAGTTCATTTCAATGGTAGACTTGGATATTTCAAATTTTTAATACGATTAAATTTTCATGCCATTTGAGATACAGTGAGTGTTTTCAGAGGGCCAATAAAAATGGTTTATTTACTATTTTTGTTTCGTAAAAAAAACTTATAGGACGTGATGAATTAGAACAATGAATATACGAATGTGCACACTACAAAAAGATTTGCATGGTGCCTTTTGTAATGTTATATCAAAGATTTATTAGGATTATTTTTCTGATATAAGAAACTTAATTTTTAACTAGCAGTAGCATTCAACTCCAGCCACTTTTTTTTTCGTGATAGATTGTAGTCTGGCCTCCAACTTTAACTGCACGCAAATTTGATGAGATATGTTACCAGGCAGACATTGCACTGCAGTTTAATATACAAACTTATTTTTTTAATATTTGTAGGGGTTTTATGGTGTACTATTTTATTCTGCATAAAATTATGAAAGGGTTCATCATTAACCTAGGAAATTTGAGATTATACCCAACTAAATTGATGCCAAATATGGATAATTTATTATTAATGCATCAGACTCATCCCTTCCACTACAAGCATTTATTTATTGCTTAGTCATTTTACATACTAAGTTTGAATTTAATTAATAGATGTGTAAAATTAACGTGTTTCTTCTCACTGCAGTTAGAAATTTAAATCTAATAATGCTGTACCAGCTGTCAAAAGAGTACATTTGGGTTTGCAAAAAGTCAGTGTCGGGTAAATCGAGAAACTTGACATGGAGTCTACGAGACAAAAAAGTTACTAAAAGAAATCAGTGCTTTTAAAATAAAGCCTGTTCAAACAAAATTAACCTGAATCTAAGAGAGGTTCTATTTCATTTACGACTCACTACAGCTGCACAATGGTTTGGCGATAGTCTGGGAAGCACCCCTGAGGATGATCCGAAGAGGGGGTGGTACTTAACGGTAGAACAGTTTAACGAGGACCATACCGCCCACGGATAGTGGAAGAGGTTATAAAAGTGTTCACTTAAGATGAGTCCTGCTTAAAAGAATCCCCTGCTGCAGGTTTTTTTTTCTAGCAGGCCCAGTTGGAAATGCGTGCATTATTTGAAATTTAATTTAAAAATTTTTCACTTGTCAGATTGCACAAAGTATAAACAAAATATAATATGAATTAACTTAAGAGAAAAGATAAAGAGGGTTCTCATTCTTTTTAATCAGAACTAACAGTTGTGTGCTTTAATGTATCTAAACTAATTATAGTGGTTTCAATTATACTGAAATTAAAAAAAATTCAATTTACTGAAAAAATTCTTTCAATTATACTGGAGAAAAAAAATTATAATAGAACATAAAAAAAATGCTTTTATATAATTTAACCCTCAACAGAACCAATGCTGCCATATGAACAGCATGGCAATTTTGCTTACTATATCCAATGCAGGTAACTGGTAGCTAAAATCAATTTATTGTATAATTAAATCAATTGTAAATAAGACTTTTTTTTAAATAATAAATATTACAATGGTTGGAAGTGAACTTGAAATATTTCCAGATTGTTATGGGTTAATGACATCTATGAAACTAATTCACATTCCATTATTTCATTCAAATTGAATTAAGTTATAAAAAAAAAATTTCTCTGCTTGTTAAATTGAGTCCAGAAATTAAAATTCCAAATTTTTTTATACATAAAAAATTATTAGAAGAACAAGTTTTTATATTTTGCTATTGAGATGCACCACCTATTCAGTTGTGAGCAAATTTAGCAAAATATTCGGTTAATTTAAAAAATTTTCTTTGTTTCTATTAATAAAATGGTTCATATAAAAAAATTAATTCTAAAATGAAGTTACTAAATACTATTAAGTTACTAAATATTTTTATAGGATAAAAATACAATTATGCTAACGGTTATTATGTAATTCTGGGGAGTTTGGAGTGAAAATTTGTTTTAGTTATTTTGTTGTTTATTATTAAAAAAGGTGACATGGTTG